GTCTCCGTTCCCTCCTTCAGGGAACGAGGGTTACCATACGTAACCGAGACGTTTTCTCTGTATTTGAGCTGTTTCGAACTTACTGTTTGAATGCATTTGTTTACTCTGGATCCTTGGACTGAAAAGTTTACAGGAGTTTACCGGTTTTTAAGCTATTGTTTTCGTTGTAATGTACTGATTCAAATTAGTAATCAATAATTAACTATTATTTTACCACTCTGCGCGCATCCCCTTACATGCTCTCGCGCATGAAGAAGCAGCATCTCTGTCTGTCGGCAATCAGCATCCTCTCTGACTGACGGAGCTCGCGCAATAATCAAAATATTTCAAAGGAAGCCGGCGCCACGGTCCTGACCGCATCACTGTCTTTACTGGGTGTTTTTAGGGAAATTTTTATTTTTTTTATTTTTTTTTTACACGCGATTGGATTAGCTATTCATGTGGTGGACTGTCATGATTTTGCCTAATGCAGGACACTAATGAATGATGCGCATCAGAGGGGATTTAGAAGTGGGTATACGCAAAGCCTACTGATAAAGAAGTGGGTATACGCCATATACCTGCGTATACCCTCCACTACACCACTGGACGTAGGTATGTGGGGGCGTGTTAGAACGAGGCGTTTTAGGTAGGTGTGGCTGACTCTTAACTTTTATAAAGAATATCTCTTTGGATTTGAAACTTTAGTCTTTGCAACTTTACAGATCTTCTTTATGCACCAAGAGCTTGTAACACTCTAAAGAGAAAGAAACAATTGAAATCGCATTATATGACCCCTTTAAGATGTTTTGATTTTGCATGTTTTGATGTGTAATCCTGACACAAATGTGAAGAAATGATCACTATACCGTTTCTGTTGTCATATGTCATAGACCTTAAGAATGACTAATAATTTGATTTAATTTACAGTTAAATCAGTTATTTTGTTTTATATTTTTTTATTTTATTTATGCATTGTCTTGCTTTATTTGATTTTTTTAAATTCATTTTTATGTTTTGTCTTTTATTTCATTGTTAATATATTTCAATATTATTTTAATATTTTATTTTAATTTATTATGTGAAGTTTCTGTCTGTAACCATGCAGTAAAAAAGTTTCCAGGTTCATTCTGACGTACAGATTCTTCAGAGTCCGTTTGTGTTTATTCAGACGTTTGTATCGAGTTAAACTGAAGCTCGTTTGTTCTTGTGGGATGCATTTTCTCAATTACATTTCTTACAGAACAGAACAGATGCTTAAACAAGCTAAATGCAAGTACAAGTACAAATACAGATACAAACCTCTCAGCGGCCAAAATCTCTTTCCTCACTGTCTGGTTTTATTTTATGTTTTGTATCTTGTTTCGTTTTATTTGATTTTAATATTATTTATTATTTTATTTTATTTCATGTTTTCTCTTTTATTTATTTATTTTACATTTTGTCTTATTTTATTATTTATTTTATTGTTAATACTTATTTATTTTATTTTAATTGTAATTTTATATTTTACCAGCATTTCACTATTTAATGTAATTTTGTTTATATTTATTTATATTACGTTTTGTCTTATTTTATTATTTATTTTATTGTTAATACTTATCATTTACTCCATTAGCCCCGTTTTATTTTAATTGTAATTTTATATTTTACCAGCATTTCATTATTTAATGTGATGTTATGTTTTGTCTTTTGTTTTATTTGATTTGATATTAATACAAAAAAATATTGTTTTGTTTTGTCTTATTTTGTTTTATCTTTTTTATTTTATGTTTTGATTTGCTTTATTTGATTTGATTTTAATGTTTTTTAGTTTATTTTTGTTCATTTTACGTTTTGTCTTATATTTTATCTTTTTTGTTATGTTTTTTTTCTTTCTTTTATTTGATTTGATTGGTTCATTTTAAAATTATTTAATTTTGTCTTTTATTTTATTATTTATTCTATTGTTAATACGTATCATTTATTCGTTACAGCTGTTCTAATTTAATATTAATTCACATTTTGTTATCATTTTGTTAATGTAATTTTATGTTTTGTCTTTTTTTATTTGATTTGATTTTAATATATTTTACTTTTTGTCTTTTTTTATTTGATTTGATACTAATATAACATTTTGACAAAACGAGTCTGCAGTCTTTGTCGTGTCATTAAAGCGAGATCTCACACGAAGCACCGGGAGACTCTGCCGAATTATTTATGTTTATCCAATTTTCCCAAAAGCCACAACACCTTGAAAGTGCCTTCAATTCCCTTATCCACGTTTAATCAGATCTCCGTTTAACAAAGAGCTCTGAATATGTATCTGCATGCGCGCCGCTCGGCCTTCTGGGTACGGCTCTGTGTGAAATCTCATTTGCGTGTCTTTCTCTCAGGACCGGAGGGCTGTAACCTGTTTATTTACCACCTGCCGCAGGAGTTCGGCGACGTGGAGCTTATGCAGATGTTTCTGCCCTTTGGCAACGTCATTTCCGCCAAAGTCTTCGTGGACCGGGCCACCAATCAGAGCAAGTGTTTCGGTGAGTTCCCACAATGCACCGCTTCACTCAGCACAAAAGTGCCTTTATTTCCCGCGTCTGCACTAATCACGATGCAGTTAGCGGCAATAAAAAGTGCTGTTTCAGCATTAATAATATAATAGAATTATTCATTAGATTTTATTTTTATATTTCCAGTTTAAATTTTTAGTCATTTTGTGTTTATTTGTGTTTTTGTCATTTTTATTAGTATTTGTTCTTTTTAAACATTACTATTTAGGTTTAATCTTTAGTTCAGTTTTAGTTTTTATTTGTGACCCTGGAGCACAAAACCAGTCATAAGGGTCCATTTTTTTAAATTGAGATTTATACATCATATGAAATATCATAATAATCTTTCCATTGATGTATGGTTTGTTAGGATAGGACAGTATTTGGCCGAGATACAACTATTTGAAAATCTGGAATCTGAGGGTGCAAAAAAATCTAAATATTGAGAAAATCATCTTTAAAGTTGTTCAAATGAAGTTCTTAGCAATGCATATTACTAATCAGAAATTAAGTTTTGATATATTTACAGTAGGACATTTACAAAATATCTTCATGTAACATGATCTTTACTTAATATCCTAATGATTTTTGGCATAAAAGAAAAATCTATAATTTTGACCCATACAATGTATTGTTGGCTTTTGCTACAAATATACCCCAGCGACTTAACACTGCTTTTGTGCTCCAGGGTCACAAATATTTCCAGTTAATAATTTTATATGGCAATTTGAGCATTTCAACCAAATTTTCTGTAAGTTTTTTTACTTTAACAAAAAAAAAAAGTTTTTATATTTTTAGTTTTAGCTTAGTTTTAGTTTTTAATTCACCTTATTTCAGTGAGCTGCCAAAGCATTAAAAAAAATATTTAATATCTCTAATATTTATCTTTATTTCTATTAACAAAAATGTTTTTAAATAGCGTTAGTTTTAATTCAGTTTTAGTTTTCTAATTCTATTTATTTACAGTATATTTCAGTTAGTTGCCAAGGCAGCATTTTTGTTTTCTTTTTTAATTTAAGTTTTTTTTTTTTTTACTTGATTTAAATTAACAAAAAAGTTTTAATAGTTTTAGTTTTAGTTAAGTTTTTATTTAAACTTATTTCATATATATATGTATATATTCAGCTTTATTTCTATTAATTTTTTCATCTAATATTTATTTATTAATTTTTTCAGTTTTATTTCAATTAACAAAAATGTTTTTAACAGTTTCAGTTCAGTTTTAGGTTTTTGCCTGATATTTATATTTTATTTTTTATTTTTATTTTAATTGATTTAATTTTTACGCTTTATTTTAATGAACAAAAATGCTTTTAATACTTTTAGTTTTACGTTTGGTCTTTATTAAACATTTTTTCAGTTAGTTCCTTTTTATATTAAATTTTTTCGGCTTTATTTCAGTTAACAAAGATAGTTGTATTAGTTTTAGTTTATGTTTTATTAACGATTAATAACCCTGGCATCAAACTTACCCAGAATGCAGTTCTCTTCGCACCTCGCAGCTGCATGGAAAGCGTGAAGTGCTTCCTGCATCATTATATTTCTCATAATGCGCTTCCTGCCTTCATGTCGACGCATGCTGAGGTCTCTTTCTGCATCTTTACATTTAATCTTTATTTTCATCACTATTCATTAAGATCTTGGCAGACAGGAGCGTGTCGTCTCGCCCGCAGCTCCTCCAAAGTTGCAATAAAATGAGATAAAGCCGCTGCTCAGGAAGGAAATTAAATCAGGTGTTTTTCATCAGCTTCCTCCGGTGTGGAGAGGAACATGTTCTCCCTCATTACTCTCTCATGTCAGTGCGATGTGCTGGAATTAGACTCGTGTGTGCATTCATCATCACACGCGTGTTTATCTGAGCGTCTTGATTCGGTTCAACTAAAGCGGCTGATGCTGTTCCAGTGACTGAGTGTTTTCTGTGCACTATGTTGTGGAGCTTTACGAGACGCGGATGATTGAAACAAATGTGATTTGATTTGCTGCTGTGTGGTGTCTGTGGTCATGATGGGCTGTTATTCTAGAGGACATGGGGTTGGTGTGTGAACTCTCTAGCGCCACCAGCTGTTCAGTTTCACAAACGTTTTAGTTCAATAAAATAAATTTTTGTGTAAAATTATATTTTGAAGTCGCTCACAATCAACATCGTGAGTTTTGAAGGTGTTTTTTTAAGTCTTTTGAACTCTTTCCAGTTTTATTTTATTTTATTAGTATGTTTATATATATATTTATGTATATGTGTGTGTGCGTGCGAGTGAGTGTGTGTGGGGGGGGTGTGTGTGTGTGTGAGCGTGCGTGCGTGCGTGCGAGTGAGTGTGTGTGTGGGGTGTGTGTGTG